TTTACACACTGATGCACATGCAGTCCATCACAACCACACCAGGTCAGAGCAGTTAAACCTTCCCTTGGCCCTGGGATCCAAATCCTATTACCCCAGCAGGTGCTGAGCCTGGGCTGCAACCATCACCACTGAGATCATGCCTGCACTGTGAGACACAAAATGGCCCATCTACTTTTCTTGGAGGCCGCTGGTGGGGGTTTCCCAGCAAGCTCTCTCCTGACGCTGCAGACAGCTTGTGCCAACAGCAAGAATGGGAAGCATATTCCAGGGGTTTGGTCCAAGCTTCCCATGGGTAGTGGTTTGGAGGTCTCCCTTCTTCCCACAAGTTACTCAGACCCACAAATGTGTCTTCAGACCCTGTGATGATCACAAGGCTATTGCTGCCCCAGCCACATCCTTGGGGACCAGGTGGTATCAGGCCTCTGGGAACTGAGTTGCTGCCACCAAAAGTCAGCAAGCTGCATCTAGTGCCCAACTGCATGGATTGGTCTTGAACTTGTGATCCTCCTTCAGCTTCCAGAGTAAAGTTGACCACTTGAGAGCTGGGGATATAGCTCCTTTGGTAGAGTGCTTGCCTTGCATGCACAAGGCCCTGGGTTCTGTCCCCAGCATGAAAACACACACACACACAGAGTTGACCACTTGGACTAAAGGTGCTGGTGCACTTACTGGTGGACCCCAGAGCCAGAACCAGGAGCAGAATCCTGTCTGTATTCCCATTCATCAAAGGGCATAGTGGTATCCACTTAGTGAGCCCTCTACAAACACAGGTGGTGTCAAACAATTCTTGCACAGAGGGAGACAGTGGAAGTTTCAGGGTGTGGGAGATGGAGGAAGCTCCTTCACTGGGGAGAGACTGCTGGTGCATCACGGATAAGCAGTGCCTGCGCGTGCCACTCTTCCTCCTATGCCAGGCTCAGAGACAGGACAGTCTCCATTCCTAGCATTCTTGACCCCTGCCAGGGATAAGCAGGTCCTGCAAAGCCTGGATGCCCAGACTGGGCTGGCTGGGCCAGCAATGATATCTCTCTGGAAAGCCAGGGACTGGGCTTGCCTCCAACACATGCCACAGCTGAGCATCTGGTGTCTGTGGGTCCCCTCCTGTAGTGGGCACTGTAGGCACCATCCAGACCCATCTTGGAGACCCAAAGACTCCCTAGCTGCCAGGAGCACCAGTCACAACTGAGACACACCCCTAGCCAGAGTCACTTTAATGGAAGAGAGCACCAAAAGGCAATGTACATTCAGCAACAGGTAAAGAGCTTTCCTCTGTGTTCATTCCCAGGAGATGTCTCTGTTCCCAAGCTCCAGTGGATCTTTACCATTGAGCTACATCCTCAGCACTTTTTATTTTGAGACAGAGTGGTCTCTCATTAAGTTGCCTAGCCTGGTCTTGAACTTGTGGTCCTCCTTCAGCTTCCAGAGCCACTGGGATTACAGGTGTATACCAACACCCCTCATCTTCCCAACCCCAGCTGCAGCAGCCACTCTTGCAAACCTGTTCTCTTCTCACTCCATATCAGGAGCAGGCCCTGCAGGCATATCCCTATTTCAGCATCCATGTCCAGGAATCCCCTGGCTGACTGACCAACCTTGGCATCCTGAGTGAGGGCACCTGAAGGACAGCATGAGCAAAGTAAGGTGGACATATGTGTTCAAGCCACCTAGACATGTGTCTGAACACACATATGCTCTGCCTCATGTCAGCTCTACTGACCTATACTCTGGTGGAGAGGCTCCTTAAATGGAATCCCAGTCCTTGGCCCCTCTCTTTCCCCTTGATCCACCCTGGAGAAATGGAAATCAGCTGCAATTGCCTAACATACCCAAGGCTGTGGGACAGCCTTCTGGTGATGGGCCAGCCTTGTTGTCTACCCAGGTCTTATGGAGCTCACTCCAGGACATGAGCGAGCGGGTGGGGACACTGACCAGTAAGAGTAGTCCTGGCAGCCACACAGGAATCCTCAGTTCAGCCTCCAGGCCACAAGTAATCGCCCCAGGGGGCCAGCCCTTGGGCTTTGGAGGGCCCTTGAATAGATCAAAAGAAACTGCCCCTCCCTGGGAAGCAGAGATGCAGGAATGGGCTTAGGACCAGGGCCTGGCTATTTGGGGAGGAGGCGGAAGTGGGCCAGGCTAGCAGGAGGCCTGAAGTCATAAGCTATTTCTGAGGCAGTTGCCCCTTCCCCTTGACCCCTGGGCTTGGCAAGGGGGTCCTATAAGCTCAGGGCTCAGGGCTTTGCATCATTGGCAGTACTCCCTTCCTAGGAAGGGAGGATGCAGCCCACACAAACCCCATTTGACCTGCCCAGTGGCTGCCCTCTCTACCCAAGGAACTGCCCCTATCCCCAAGCCCACCAGACATAAGGCCACTTAAGGCAGTCACGGTGGCAGCCACTGTGCTGAAAAGGAACTCACTGGCTAGTCTCAGTTACAGAAGACTAAGCCAGTGTCCTGGGCTCCTGGAACTGTGAGGCTGGAACCCTCTTCTCTACAGCCTTTAGTGCCAACAGGAACTGACAGCCACATCCCCCACAGCTGGAGGCAGCTCCAACCCTTCCACAATCTTTGGGGGGAGGGGCAAGGGGGCAGAGCAGCTCATGCCAACACTGACCCCAGCCTTAACCCTTTCAGAGCATCAACACCCATGCATCCTCACTGATATCCTTGCCTTCCCCAACAAAGCAGCAGGGCACAGTGGGGACAGGAGGCCCCAAGCTCCTTTCTCTCTCTTGGTTCTCCCTCCTGGCCAGTTTGCCAGCCAGCCCGGCAAACCACAGTGGGAAAGCCCAGCCCACCACTTCCAGCCTTCAGAGGGAGCCTTACACCACAACCAGGAAGTAGGGGGCAGGGAGGGAGAGACTGCATACCCGCCCCCCCACTCAGGCCAGAACATCTGGAGAAGTGGGATGCTGGTGCAGGCCCCACCTCTTTCTGGGGCAGAGTCCAGGCTACCCACCAAATGGAATGAGCCTCTCTTTCATCCCAGATGAAAGGAGAATCCTCCAGAATGCCCATGATTTCTACAACACCCACATCCCCATGCTTTCATCAGGGAGAGAGGGGTCTAGCTGGGGCCTCAGTTTCCCTCATACATTGAAAGGGAAAGGGCTGTGGGTGTTGTTCTCACAGGAAGGGGGAGTCTTGGGCGGAATGGCTGCAGGGGATAAGGAGGAAAGGGGGTGGGAGTCACATCCAGGCTTGCCTCAATAGCAGGGATTTATAACACATTGCCCCCACCCCCACCCCCGGAAGCAGCTAGCAGTGCCACAAACAGCTGGGTGGCTTCCAGCAGGCAGCAGGCTGAGGCTGCCCCTCCTTCCACAGGAAGTCCCGGTTGGGGCCCTTGGGGGTGGGATGGGATGGCTGAGCCTTAGCCTGGGTCAGAGTTCAGCCCCTGAGCTGGTCAACAGAGAAGCAGCTGGATATCAAGTGCCTTGTTCACCTGAGGGTCACAAGAGACATGGTCTATCCCTTTGTCCTATCCAGTACCTTTCATACTGCACACAACTGCTCTGAGGCCTCTATGGTACCAAGGTCAGAGTCACAGAAATCAGAGCTCAGAACAGGCCCCTCAAGGATTTTTACAGGACAGAGGTGGGTTGTCGGGGCGGGGTGGTGTTGGTGGTGATATTGTCTGCATAAGGGCCCAGCAGACCCTGAGGATCCCTACAGGGGCAGAGTGGGCAGTGGTGGCTATGCTGGTGTAGGAGCTGCCCCTGAGGGTTCCCTCTCTGGGTCCAGCACTGCCCTTCCCAGAGGCAGGGTGGGGAGCAGGCGCTGGGTTATGCGGAGGGGAGAAGTGTATAGGGCAGCTGCCGCCCAGAAGGGCGGGTGTTCACGGGTCTCCACAGCCGTGGCCCTGGCCTCAGCCCCTTGAGGAGGCTGGCCACTCTCCAACCGGCCCGCCCAGGACGTGGGCGAGCTACTGTCCACATGCCTGGGCGCTAGGAGGGGTGAGAGCTCCGCTGCAGAGACAAAGATCCCGCTGCTCCCCCTTTTCTTCCTCTGACCGGCTGTAACGACCCCGGCCCTGGCGTCCATTTCCTGCCCACTACACTCAAATGCCCCGAGGTAGGGGTAGGCAAGTTCGGGTCGAGAACTGGGCCGCCGCCTCCCGGCGCGCTCTCCATAGTGCCGACCTAGCCCCAAAGCAGGGGCTCCGACCCGGTCCTCAAGGGCCCAGTCCAGCTGCCCGGCGTAATGACTATTGGTAGGGGCGGGCTCTTTGGAGGTAGGCGACCAGGGGCAGCCGAGATGCAGGGAGGTCCCAGCCGCCTCCGGGGACTGCGGGAAGCGAAGTCTTCACTGGGCCGGGCTCTGCCCCTCCGCAGGCGCCCCGCCAGGTTCCTACTGCGCAGGCGCGGCCCCGCCCAGCTGCTGGCGCTTCCGGGCGGCGGGAGGCGGGCAAGCTGCGGGTCCCAGGGATGTAGGCTCCCGGCCGCGGCGAGGCCGAACCCCATGGGAACTCCTGAGAGTGCGGCCGCGCTCGCGGGCCCTGATGAAGCCTCCAATTCCCGAACGAGCCCGCCGCCCATGAGCCCCCAAGTGACCGGATGCCGCGGGGCCCGCCTCGGGCCAAAGCGGGTGAGAGCAGGACCGCAGCGAAGCGGAGGCTGAGCCCACGGCGAGCTGGCACAGTGGGCCGGGCTGCAGAGACGGTCACGTCAGCGTCCATTCACGGCCGACTGGCGGCCTCGGCCCGACGTGGACGTCAGCACTGATGTTAAAAATAATGGATGTCTTGCGGGGCAGGGCGCCAAGGGTACCGCCGGAGACCAGCGGCCCAGGAAGGCGCGTCCAGGCCCCACGCTCACTTGCTGTCTTCCTCTCCAGCTTCCCGAGGCCCCAGACCCGCTGAGGATGCGTCTTCAGGTTTCCCGGCCATGTGATGGCGGAAGGGACCTCTCGCCCCACTTGCTCCTTATTTTGACACCCTGGGCAGTAACGCAGAGTGCAGTTAGGGACTGGCTGGGGTCATGCGCTGAGCATTTGAGGTGGGGTTAGGCAGATGATCAGCCCCATTTTCACCCAGCTGTGTGTTTCGGGCCTCCTGGGCCAGACAAGTCTGGGACAGTGTGAGTCTTGCCTCCATCAGCAGCCAGTGGGGAAAGAAGCTCTGTCTGAGTCTAGGCTGGTTTTTTGGTTTTGTTTTTTGGTCCCTAGGGTGCTCTACCCATGAGCTACATACATCCCCAGCCCTTTTTATTTTGAGACAAAGTCTCAGTTGCACAGGCTGACCCACAAATTGGAATCTTCCTGCCATACCTCCCTAATAGCTGAGATTGCATGCATAAATTCCTGCACATGCATATATACACTGTAAATTCCTGGTTAGGGTTGGGTACAAAGAGCAGGGTTCCAGAAGCAAACTCAGAAGGTTCCCTGGGGTCAACATGATAAATGGGATCAAGAGGGTCCTAGCTCCTTCTCTGCAGCCTCAGACATCCCCCCCCAGGCCTGCAGCCCTTGTCACCAGGCTGTGCATCTCCCATGTGTGAAGGGCCCAAAGGGCAGTGTCCACCTACCACCCAGCAGCCTGTCATCACTTGAGGTTGAATATGTCAGCCTTGGCATTGTTTGTGCCTCAGAGAAACCCATAAGGTCGGTACCACAGTTTGCAGACGAAAAAAACTGAGGCAGACAGAGCCCTTGAACTCCCAGGGCCTGTTTCACCACATAGTTTTCTGTTGCCTCCTACTCAGATACTTTTGTTTTCCCATTACAGCTTTCCCGAAGGATGGGGCAAAAAAAGCGAATGGCAGAGAAAGAGTTGCAGCAGAGCCCACTGGACACAGCCCAGTCGCCTTCCCCAAAGGAGCCCCACTTGAGACAAGCCTCTTCCCTGGGCCCCCAGCGCAGCATCTATTTCTCCAGCCCAAAGGGCCACCCTGCCCGGCTAGGAACAGAGTTTTTTGACCAGCCAGCCATCCCTCTGGCCCGCGCCTTTCTGGGACAGGTAATATCAACAGTGATATCGTCTCTAATGAGGTTGCCATCATGAGGCCCTCACCACTGTTCACAGCCTGACCTGGCCCTCATGGACCATCCTTGTGCTGGTGCAGTTAGCTGCTTTCCCACCCTGGTCCCTGAAGAGCCTTATCTTAGTTGTCTGGGGTCACTGGGAGAAGGAGGGCTGTTTGCCTCAGATGGAGGAGGGCTGTCACCATCAGTCTTCCTTTACTTGCAAGGAGAGTAGCAGTTCACTGCCAGCTTTCCCACCTGGGACATGGACGCTTAGTCCCTGTCTACTTGGGACCCCTTCAGGGTAGGTCACTTGGAGGTACTATAACACTGTTGGCCCTGTATCTTTGAGGGGCTGGCCACCTTGCCTGCCTTGTCTCCTGACAATCAACACTCGTCAGGATGACATTTCTGATAATTTTAGACTCACGGGAACTGTGCAGCCACTGTCAGATTACCAGCATCAAAATTGCCTTGGGACAGCTACCTTCCTACCACATGGCTCACAGGGGCAGCCCTGGCAGCCCAGTGGCCCCTATAGCTCAATGTAGATTCAGGATCTGGGCTCTGGTGGACATATTGGAGTGGGAGCAGGGACCATCCTGGGGTGGCCTGCCATGCACCCTGTCACCACACATGCACAGCCATGGAGTCTTGGCTAGGTCTGTCTTGAGTACCATCTGGGTATTCTTCCTGGGTATCAAAGTCCCAGAACTGGCTTACTGGCTCTCCCAGAGATTCCTTGGCCTACCCTTTGTCCTTTAACTTTTAGGTTGAAATGGCCAAGAGAGCCAGTTTCTGTGACTAATAGAAAAACCAGTGTGTTGAGGCTGGGGTTAGCTCAGCAGTACAGTTCTTGCCTCACACATGTGAGGCACTGGGTTTGATCCTCAGCACCACATAAAAATAAATACAATAAATAAAGATTTAAAAAAAATCTTGTAAAAAAAAAAGAAGAAAAACCAGAGTGCTCAAGGCCCTGGCTCAGTCTCCAGCACTGAAACAAAAGCTACTGAAATAAGTCACCCTCTGAGCTGAGAAGGGTGCTGCCTCCCCCAGGAACATGTACCAAGAGTCTGGTGCTAACTCAGGTGTGGTGGTACACACCTGTGATCCCAGACTCATGGACCATCCTTGTGCTGAGGCAGGAGGATCACAAGATTGAGGCCAGCCTCAGCAACTTACCAAGGCCCTAAGTAACTTAGCAAGATCCTGTCTCAAAAAATAAAGGGCTGGGGATGTGGCTTAGTGGTTAAGTACCCCAGGGTTCAATCCATGGTACCAAAAAACAAAACAAAAACAAACAAAACCCGGATGCTTAAAAAAAAAAAACCTAGCTTACTGGAGAAGGGATGAGATTCTGTTCCCATGAAGATGCTTTCAGCTGCAAGGGCCAGAGGATCTTTCTGAAAGTAACTTAGATATTGAACATTTATGACATGACAAACAATATGTGGGGCAGGTGCACCCCAGGATTGATGGTCAAGCATCAGAGTGCATCCACCTCTAGCCAGTGTCCTTGGCATGTCGTTTACTTTTAGGCCTGTATCATACCTACTGGAGTCTGTTGGTGGACAGGATGATGTCTAGCAGAGAAGAGGGTGCTCACTCTCTGTCCCTTTGGTTGGGGAGGACAGCCTTTTCGATAACCTCCCAGTGGGTGCCCTTGCAGACCCCTCAGCAAGGTCACACTCTTATCAAAAGGTTCATTTCAGGGCTGGAGATGTAGCTCAGGGGTAGAGTGCTTAAGAGTGCTCAAGGCCCTGGCTCAGTCTCTAGCACTGAAACAAAAGCTAATGAAATAAGTCACCCTCTGAGCTGAGAAGGGTGCTGCCTCCCCCAGGAACATGTACCAGAGAACTAAGGTGTGCTCCCTGCAGAAGGGTAGCTGGGCCCCAGGGTGCCAGGAGGCACGGGGGCAGGCCTCCTCAGAGTCCTGGAAAGCTCTCCTCTGGAGATGATCAGGCCAAACCCAAGGTACTCACTCCTGTCCCCAGTGCTTTGGATGCCTGTGGGCATTTCTAGGTTTCAGGACAGTCATCAATCCATCCTGTCCTGTGATACTGACCCTCAGGCACCACAGCTGACCCTAACCTGAGTTCAAGGTGGCTGGCCTTCCAACTGGTCCCTCTGACCTAAGGATGAGGCAGTTGCTGTAGATGTGGCTAGTCCCTGCAGTTCTGCTGTGAACCCTGGTTGAGTCCGGCCTAGGTCTGGGTCTTCAAGCACAGGGGCAGAACGGCTGGCCATTCCCAAGACAGTGGTCCAGGCTAGGGAACTGCAGGCAGCTGGTCCTGCTGTTCAGAAAAGCTTTACAGCTGGTTGGTGGGAGCTGAGTGTGAGGGTCTTTTGTGATTGCTTTGGAAGGTCACTCCACAGGCTCTGGAATACCCCAGGAGGCCATGTATGGATACCCTTGGGAACCTGTGCCTTCCACACTGGCCAGCCTCGTGCTGATATAGTCCTCTGAAGGGAAATGGGAGAGGAAGTAGGGAGGACTTGAAGGTCAGCCTACATGGTGGTCATCTAATAGGGCTTGTGGTCTCAATGGTGGCTTTTGGGATCTAATTAGGAGACACGGTGCAGGTGCCAGGTGAGAGGGCCTGGCTGAATCTGGCACATTCTGAGCTAGTGAGAGGTTGCACAGGCTGGAGACTGTCAGGGTGGGTATACCCCTATTCCTTCTGGCCCTGAGCAGACTACCCACACACAGGTCCTTGTCCGGCGACTTGCTGATGGCACAGAGCTCCGTGGCCGCATTGTGGAGACCGAGGCATACTTGGGACCAGAGGATGAAGCTGCCCACTCAAGGGGTGGCCGGCAGACCACCCGCAACCGCGGCATGTTCATGAAACCCGGGACCCTGTATGTGTACATTATCTATGGGATGTACTTCTGCATGAATGTCTCCAGCCAAGGTTAGTAATGTTGGCAATGAGGGAGCAGGACTGGCACAGCCCCCTTAGCTAGTAATTGGGGGACTCCCAGGAGGACTGGGTTGTCAGGCATTTGAGGAAGGTAGTGCCATTGCCAGGGCCAAGTCCAGGATTCAGGAGCTCTGGCTGCATTGATAGGGCATGGTTGGCTAATGGGACTGGGCCCCTGTGGGATAGAGGCTATGGGACACACCTGAATGCAGAGCAGACAGATTCCATGAGGTTACCACTGATCCCAGAGCTTGAAGCTGATGGCAAAGAGCACTGGGGTAGATGTGGAAAGAGCAAGTTGTAGGGAAGCAAAGGAGAGATCAATCTGGGCTGAGCTGAGCAATTGCAGGAGCCTATCAAGTGGCCTGTTGTGGGGTCTGATCAGTTGTTCTCAGCCAGGAGCAATTATGCCCCTTAGGGGACATTAGGCAATATCTGGAGACATTTTTGGTCATTTTATAGCTGGGGATGGTACTGCATCTACTGGTTGAAAACAGGAGTGCTGCCGAACCCCTATAAGGCACAGGACAGCCCTCACCACACAGGAGCCTCTGTCACAGTGGAGTTGTCACAGTGGAGTTGCTGGCTTGGTGCTCTGAGAGAAGCCCTCACTTGTGAGTATGGCTCTGGTGTAGACTCTGCCCTTGGTGAACTCAGAGCACCATCCTGTCAAAGCCACTGCTCACCAGACAACCAGACTGTTTGGGGAAAACAGTAGGGGGTCACAGTATGCCATGCTGCAGGCCATGTATGTTGGACAGTGCAATGACGTGGGGATTTTGGCTGCCCAGAGCCTACAGCTAAGGATGTCAAGTGCAAGAGCCTTGGAGACTGGGGGACACAAGGACTTCAGGACCAGCCCCATGTCTGACCCAGAGCAGACATGGAGGAAAGCTCTCAGTGATTAGTTATCCAGGAGGGTGGGAGCCCTTCCTGGAGAGCCATGATTACTCCTGAGAGCTGGTTGCAGAGCTCCTTGTTAGCAATAACTAAGCTCAGGAGGGGAGGGCCAGCCCCAGGAGAAAGGCTGAGCCTAGAAGTGCTTGGTGCTATGGCCAGTGGAATGGTGGCAGGGATGTGATATTCCTTTCTGAACATGTGATCAAGATGCCCCAGGAACGTGCAGGTTGTGGGGGCAGGACCCCACATGGGTGAAGACAGGGTTAGGATCATCCAGATAAGAGTGGTGGCTGAGGATATGGTTGTCACCTGTGTAGGTGGAGGCAGCACATGGAAGTTCAGAGGGGCCAGGTTCAGGAGGAGAATAGCCAGACTGCCAAGGCTGGAGCCACTGTGCAGCAGAGCAGGGTGAGGTGGTAGAGGCTGGGCAAGAAGAGAGTAAAGGTGTTTCTGTCATTATGTGAGACTCAAGTGCATTCTGTGTAAGAACCAGGAAAGAGGTGTGCCAGAGTGGAGGCTGAGATGCTTTTCCTTTATAGGTGGCTCTGGCTCAGCAAGGGGTCTGCCTACTTCCTGCAAAAGTGACTCAGGGTAGGGCTGGGAATATAGCTCGGTTAGAGTGCTTACCTTGCATGCACAAAGCTCTGGGTTCAATCTCTAGCGCTGCCAAAAAAATTAAAAAGTGAGGGTGGGCACAGAGGGTGAGCAAATAGCAAACTGGAAGTAGCATAAGACTCAGAGGGACTGGAACCTCCAGGCTTTGTTTTGAATCTCTTTGAAAACTGGCTGGTTATGGGGCTCACAAGAACCCAGCACTTGCTGGTTGCAGGCTTTGCTGCAGGGCATGGCTCCATTCACTTGGACTGGCCCTGAGTGCTGACGCAGAGCAGAGGCTGGGAGCAGACCCACCTGGCCAAGGCCCAAAAGTGGGTACTAGCTTGGCCACACTTGGGCCAAGCCTGACTCCCAGGAGACTGGGAGTCCAAGGTCCATAGGTGAGCAGCTTTACTGGAGGGTCAGAGCTGTCCTGGCCTGGATCCAGGTCATCATTGTCCAAGACCAGTAATAACAGGGGCCCTCCCAGACATTCAGGTCTAGAGGAATTTGGATATCTGTGCCTTCTTAGTGGGTCCCTGAAGTAGCCTGGACTGATAGGGCAGGGCTGGGCTGGAGAAGACCTCCAAGGGAGGTCTTGTGGACATCTCCCGACATGCGTACCGAGAGCTGGAGGACAGTCCCTCTACTGAATCATGAGCCACGGCCGTTCTAGCATCCTGTGCCCAGGCCAATTTCCAGGCTTGGCCAACAGGTTGCTGAGTGGCAGACAGATGGGGAGCCATAGTGCCTGACTAGGAATCTAGGCTTGTCCTGGGACTGCCCACTTCCTAGCAAGGTTATGCCAGTCCAGGAGCACCAGCTGCTGGGGCCTCACAGTTGCCACCAAATACAAGATGAAGGGAAAGGGGCTGTGGTTGTAGCTCAGTAATAGAGGGCTTGCCTAGCCTGCGTGAGGAACCGAGTTTGGTTCTCAGTACCACATAAGAAAATAAAGTTATTAAGAAGATGAAGGCAAAGCATGTGCTTTTGTGGTGGCAGCCAAGGGGTCCCTACAGAAGGAACAGCTGCCTTGTGGATGCAGGTATGCAGAGGAGTCTAGACACAGGGAGGGGCAGACCCAGAAGGCAGTGAGCAACCATGTCAGCACTGTGACACTGGAGGTGCACTGGAGCAGGAAGACAAGGGCCAGGGAGGCTCTGCTTCCAAACTGTCTATCTGTCCAACAGGGGATGGCGCTTGTGTCCTACTGCGAGCACTTGAGCCCCTTGGGGGTCTGGAAACTATGCGCCAGCTTCGCAACAACCTCCGGAAAGGCACGCTTAGCCGGACCCTCAAGGACCGTGAGCTTTGTAACGGTCCCTCTAAGCTGTGCCAGGCCTTGGCTATTGACAAGAGCTTTGATCAGCGGGACCTGGCCCAGGACGAGGCCATGTGGCTAGAGTATGGTCTGCTGGGCCCCAGTAGACCAGCCGTGGTGGCAGCAGCCCGTGTGGGCATTGGCAACGCAGGGGAGTGGACCCAAAAGCCCCTGCGCTTCTACTTCCAGGGCAGCCCATGGGTGAGTGTGGTGGACAAAGCAGCTGAGCAGAAGAACACACAGACCTGAGCAAAGAGCCCACTCAGGCTTTTTTTAATTGTTTAAAAACTAAATAAATGTTTTGCTTCTAGGGAACTGTTTTGTCTTTACAGAGCCCCTGGTTGATCATCACATGCCTAAAGTCAGTCCTTCCTCCAGGGTTAGGGTCAACAGGAGAGCCACACAGTACATGCACATTCTGGGGCAGGGTCCTGGCAGGAAGTTGAGCTGCCACCCACCACAACGGTGACCTATGTGGTGCTGTGGAGAGGCTGGGCCAGGAGAGGATCCTAGCAATCTGGGAGGGATGCAGTGCATGGTGAGCAGAGGTGGTGCTGGGTGAGGTGGCCACACATGCTGACGCCATCAGAAGGCAGGAAGGAATATATATCCCTCAGGATAGCACAAAAAGTGAGGCAAGGTCACCACAAATGTGGCCAGGGCTAGGATGAGGGTCAAAACAGCCTATGTGCACGTGTAAGGACACAGTCCTCACCAGATGTGAGTCTAGAAGGCACCCTTCAGCTTTTGGTGATGGTAAGGCTGTTGCGAGGACTAAGTGAGAGTTAAAAGAGCACAGAGGATGATGGCCTCACAGCTGCTGCTGAACCAAGGTGCCTGTGGTAAGGATAAGGACAAGGGCTCTGCAAGCCTTCAGTCAGGCCAGGGCTGGCCACCCATGCAGTGCCCACCCTCACACCCCATTCTCTGCCTGGCTCATGTGAGCAGTGCCTGGAAGACGGCAATGACAGGGTCCTCATGGGTGGTCACCACCAGCACACTGCGGAACTTGTCGAAGAGCATGAGCAGCTGGGAGCGCCGAGTGTTCTCGTTGTACATGATCTCCTCCAGGTGATGGTGGCCGCGGAAGTAGTGAAGGAGCCTGGAGGAGGGGTGGCATTAGCCAAGACAAGGCCTGCACCCTGAAATGCCTCTGACAAACACTGGTGGGGGTTAGCTCAGCATCCTGGACCCAATGCCCACTGGAGTCCCTGGTGACCAGCAGTGGGCATGAAGTGGTCCTAACAAGAAGCACAGCTGTCTACATCTAGAGCCACTGAAGACTGCACCCCAGAGCAGGAAAGAGGCTGCCAGAGGCTCCAGATGGTCCTTTCCAGGGTCTAGAGTGTGGTTCACACTTAATGCTGGCAGCCTTACCTCTCCCAGGAAACCACACACCTCCAGTCAGGGTTGGGGAACAGGCTGTCAGGCCTATAAGGTGCAGGGGTCCTGGGCAAATCCCTGCCAAGTCCTACTCGGGTAAGAACTTGCAGGGGATACTTCCAAAGACAGGCATATAGGCCCCAGACCTCAGTGACAGTGCTGAGATGCCATCTCACCCTGGCACATGTCATGTCAGGTATGCCCCTTCCAGTTTCTGTACAGCTCCACCCAGCCACCAGCCCCCACCTGGCAAACATGCGCAGATCCTCAGGGTTCTGGGCAGCGGGTACACTGAGGATGGCTGCCCGCTCATGCTCTGACAGGCTGGCCAACAGGCTCTCCGTCATCCGCTTGTTCAGTGGTGAATCCCCACTGGGGAGCAGCTCTGCACTGGAGTTATCCATGCTGGGGCTGGTGAGGGTCATGTCATCACTGCTGGCTGTGTGCAGTACAGGTCAGGGTGGATTCCAGGATGCCAAGAGAGCAGTGAGGGCAGAGCCAGCCCCCACCTAGGGACATACATAGGGCTCCTCCTGGTTCCCCAGCTGCCCTACCCAGAAATTTGGCTGACACCCATCCCCTAGGTGTGACATTCCCCCTTGTGGCTCTGACCTAGAACATGGGAGCAGCCCAAGGACCCTGAATAGGTCCATGGTATACCCCCTGTATCCCTAGGCATGTCTGGGTGAGATGCCACCTCACCCAGCTTGGAAGATGGAGCATCTGTACAGGCAAGGTCCTTGCATGAAGCCCACAGCCTGCCCCTAACCTGGGGCCCAGCACTTGGCAATGGATTTCCACCTTTAGGGATCTTCCTAGAAGTGACCATGACAGTCTCCTCATGGGCCCTCAGGCACAGGAGTTTCAACTATCCTGGTGAAGTGAAATCCTGCTCTGATCCCAGGCTGGGGCTGCTCCTGGCCAGCAAGATCCTGCTAGAGAGGCCCAGGATAGCCATGGTGGGCAGAGAAGACAGGAAGGGTCTCGACGGGAGACACAGAGGCAGACACACACGTGTGCAGCCATGTGGAGGCACCTGTCACACTTCCTAGCTGCCACCCCATGTCTCCCCCATCGCTAGACAGATGACCCAGGTGAGGGAACCTTACTTGGAGAGCCAAAGCTTAAGGCATTGGGTGTGCTGAGGCTGCGGCCGCCGACCCGGGCAGTGAAGGGGACATCCTCCTCCCGTAGGCGGGGCTCTTCCTCACTGGGGGAAGCCATCAGGCAGACATAAGTGTGCAGCTGGATGAGGAGCCGGTGCTGCAGCATCCACACCACCATCTGGATGAGCTGGGTCTGTGGGCAGGCAGTGGGTAAGGCCGGTTCCCCCATCCCAATGTCAACCTCCTATGGCCATGGCCCCAAACGGCTCGGCATACTCTGGTGCTCAGTCCTTGGAAGGAAAGCTCCTCACCTCAGAAAAAAGAGCCCACAGCTGCTGGGAAGCTCTGCAATGCCTACTTGCCCCAAGGGAGGTCCCTAATCACACCACACTGGCTCCTACCACACACCTGGGCTGTGCTAGTGTCTGGCGAAGGAGCAGGGCCTGGGATACAACCCTCCCTTTTCTGAGCTAGAACCATCTCTGTTTTGCCTCCCTCAGCCTCAGATAACTGGGAGCTGCTGCTGGTCCTAGTGAGCCAGTCCACCCCTGGGCAAACCTAGACACCATTTGGAAAGAGGTTGTTGGCAGAAAGTCCTCTTTCTGGATACACCTGAAGTCTGCACTGGACACACAAGTAGACTCAGAAGGAAGCCAGGAAAGGGTCCCCTGCTCAGGGTGGAGCCAGTGCCCCTCTCACCATACAACAGGTCCAGGCCAGGCCCTCTGTGGCTGGACCTAAAACAGAGCAATGTGCCTTGTGCAGGTCCCAGACCCAGAGCAAGGTGTATGTATGGACAGTCTCTTCCTTGAAGGCCTGCAAGGAACTGCTGACTAGGGTCACCTGGGCTAGGGTTGGGAGGGGAATGGGGGAATGTATGTGCTAATCCTTTAAAAAAACAAAACTCAAAAGGACTGCAAAATATATAAACTTAAAGTGAAATTAAGAAATAAAGGGGGGGGGGCGCTGGGATTGTGGCTCAGCGGTAGAGCACTCACCTAGCACGTGTGAGGCCTGGGTTCAATCCTCAGTACCACATAAAAATAAAGGTATTATGTCCAACTACAACTAGAAAATAAATATTAAAAAAAAAAAGAAAGAAATAAAGGGGGACTGGAGTTGTAGCTCAGTGGTGGATCATTTGCCTTGCATGTGTGGGGCACTGGGTTCCAATCTCAGCACCACATAAAAATAAATCTATAGGGCTGGGGATGTGGCTCAAGCGGTAGCGCGCTCGCCTGGCATGCGTGCGGCCCGGGTTCGATCCTCAGCACCACATACAAACAAAGATGTTGTGCCTGCCGAAAACTAAAATAAATAAATAAATAAATATTAAAAAAAAAATAAAATAAATCTATAAAGATATTGTGTCCATCTAGAACTAAGGAAATATTAAAAAAAAGAAATAAAGGGCCAGGTATGGTGGTGCAGACCCATAATACCAGCACCTCAGAAGCTGAGGTGGGAGGATCACAAGTTGGATGCCAGCCTGGGCAACTTAGCAAGACCCTGTATCAAAATAAAATATAAAAAGAGCTGCTGGTGGAGTACCAGTGCAATTCCCAGTATTGGGGGAAAAAAGAAAGAACAGCAAGGGGCTTGATAAGCACTAGAGCATGCATCCCAGGGACTTGAGGGAAACAAACCTGGCTCCGCCTGAGCCCCTACAGGGTCTGGGGCAGCCACTAGGGAATGACCTGCAAAACCCACCCCATCACACAATACTGGGAAGCTTCTGCTGGGTGGGAGCACTGCCAGCCCTTGCCCAGGACGGAGGAGGCAGGGTACAGATGCAGAGTGTCTTGTTCAGCTGGAAGAAGCTGGCAGGGCTCCTAGAAACCATGCTCCATGAAAGACGGTATTTAGAGCTCTGTCACGCTCAGCGTCTAAATGAGCTGAAAACACCAGGATCTTGCTCTCATTCACAATTTGAGAAGGAAAAGGGCTTGATTTTAAGCACGGGTTTTTGCCTGGTAGATCTGGATTTAACTAAAACAAATACTTGGCTTTTGGAAAGAAAGCCTTGAGAACACCCAGCCTATCTCAGACACCTGGTCCTATCCCATCTGACCAGTGAAGGGGCAAACCTGCCTGGCACCTATGAACAGTGACACCCTACAGTCCACACAGGAAGCCACATACCATCTGCCATGTCAGGAGGAAGCCTCCCCACACCCAACCCAGGACCCTTTGATAAGAAGATTCCAGGCCTAGTGGCCACAGGACCCCCTTGAACACCAAGGGAAGTGGGCAAGAGGCCAACTCACTTGGAGGGGGGGGACACCTTCCATCTGTGGGCACCCCAGACCCAGGGGCAGCACAACAGCCAGTGCTCACCTGCCACATGGCATCTGCAACAGCAAGCCCCCCAAAACAAGGCAGAACGGCAGCAGCACTGAGAGTCTACAGCTCCTGCAGCTGCCACGACTCACCTCCTGCGCAGGGGGTGCCAGGGGGTTCCTGAACTCGGACAAGGAGACAGGCAAAGAGAACTTGGCAAGGATGGACGGCAGGTCGCAGGATGGAAACTGGCGGGAGAACTGCTCAGCCAGTGGGGAATACCTGGGGATAGGCGAGTCCAGTGGTGGGCACAGCAGACCTGTGGGCAGCACCCTCAGCACAGGCCCTCAGTGGGCAATAGGGAATCTGTGCTGGGTGGGCCAGCCGCTGTGAGGACAGAATGAATGTAAGGTGACACGGCAGAGCTGGGCAAGCCTTCAGGTGGACAGAGTCCTGGCACTTTCTCTTAAGGGGTAGCAGAAGCCACAGGCACCAGCTACCCCAAACCCCTCTCTGATCTTGGTCAGGAGGAAGTGGTCCTGATGC